AATATATATATATATATATATATGTGTGTGTGTGTGTGTGTGTGTGTGTGTGTTTACATTTACTATACTCATCGTTTTTCTTTAACTCCCTTTAATTTAAAAGAGTTCCTTTCTCTTTACCTTTAATGACCTTCACAATTTTCTAAGAGTATACGAGAGTTGTTTTGTAGATTGTTCCTATTTGAGTTTGTCTGATGTTCCTGCCTGATCAGATTTAAATTATGCATTTTTTCCAGGAATATTCCAGAAATGATGTACTCTCCTCTGTACTTCATGGCACACGATGCCTTTCTGCCACATTAATTTTGATGCTCCCTTTGATCAGTTGGTGAAGGTGATTAGCTAATTTTTCCATTATAAAATTAGTTTTCATCTTTTTAATAAGTATTTCATTAGAAGATACTTTGAGATTGTGTAAATATCCTGTTTCCTATCATATTTTTTTCCCACTAATTTTAGCTTTTTTTAAAAAAAGAAATACAAGATCTCACTATGTAATGCAGGCTGGTCTTAAACTCACTTATGTAACCCAGGCTGGCCTCAGACTCAGAACTATCCCTGCCTCAGTCCCCCCAAGTGTTGAGATTACAGACATGCACAACCACACCTGGCTAATTTTAGCTTTTATTGATGAGTTTTGCTTTGACTAATTATGACTGGTGGTAGCCAAATGACAATTTTCTACTACTATCATTCTTGCCATATGTCCTCATTAGTCATCATTACATATTAATGTATCTTGAGCCTCTCAGAAGAATCTGCCCTCTAGTATAGGACCAGTGACAAGTAACTAAAATATCTTGTTATGAGAGGCTGATGCTAGACTACAGTTAGATGCATAATTTAATACATGCAAATCATATCATGTTATCCACACAAGGAATGTAAACATTATGTATGACAAACATGCCAATAAAAATTTAAAAATAAAAAATCATATATTATATCTTACTATGATTACTGAAGTTACCTTGCTGCTTGCAAAATGTGCCTTGTAAGAAACAACAGTCTCCAAGTAAGTGATCATGAAAGAACTTTTTTGTGGAGAAGAAAAATTTTAAAGTAACCCTA